TGTCTATGGTCTCCCTTTTTTTTTTTCCTAAGCAGACTTCCTCTTTATATGGACAATCCATCCAACTGTTGAAGTGATAAGCCGATTGGCAGCTTCTTAAAACTCTTGAAGTTCACATTGTTAAAGTGGAGTTCCACCCAAAAGTGGAAGCTCTGCTTTTATGCCTCCTACCCCCTCCACTGCCACATTTGGCATTTTTTTGGGTAAGAGGGGAGCAGGTACTTGGTTTTGACAGGTACCCGCTCCCACTTCCAGCTGAGTTCACTGTGGCAAATTGAGACAGAAGTTTGGCACCCCCCAAGCCCTCTGGGACACGTCCAAGGTCCCAGAGGACTGTAGCCTATTCAGAAAGCACAGCGAGCTTCGCTCATGCGCAGTAGGAAACTGGTGGTGAAGCCATAAGGTTTACCTGCCGGTTTTCCTTAGTCAAGATGGCGGCCCCAGCACCCAACAGCTGATTGAAGAACACCACTGGATGCCTGGACAGGTAAGTGCCCTACTATTAAAAGCCAGCAGCCACAGTATTTGTAGCTGTAGAATTTAAATTTTTGTTTTGGGAGGTGGCAGAGGCCGGAACTCTGCTTTAAGATTTCCATAGTTGAGTTACTTAGCCTGTAGAGTTGCTATGGCCATATTGAGGGATTCCAATTCTTAGTGGCTTTGTTTAACTATTAATATTATGGATAACAACAGAAGGATTCGCAACAAAAAAGTTGGGCAGGAATATCCATATTCCCAAGATGGACAGGAATAGAGTCAGATTGCAGGGAGTATTCAAACATACATGAAGCCAGGGGTTTGCACAACCCACCTGGATCCACATATATCTTAATATTTTTGGGAGGGCAGGCCCTTTAATAACAGCATGTCAAAAGACTAAGTACGAAATACAGTAAACCAACACCTTATACCACCAGGGGCAGACTGACCATTTGGAAACTCGGGCACTGTCCGAGGGCCCGGGGTCAGTAGAGGGCCCCATGAGATGCCCCTGGTACCTTTTTCATAAGCTTTTTTGAGTTTGGGCAAGGACACAGGGGCCCCATGATCCCCAATTGCCCGGGAGCCCCATGAGTTGTCAGTCCACCCCTTGTACACCACCTAATTAAATAATTCTGTTTTAGTTTTCTGGTATGTAACTTCACTACCAAATGTCTTGGCCTTTGCATATAGTCTAACATATTACAATTATGCAGTGATTATGACAAAATACATTACATTCTATACAGTGAATCAGTGGAATGAATTCATATTTTATTCCCTCAGTGGTTTTACAATACCCAAATGTACAAGTATATTTTTTTAACAGATTGTCAGTTCAAAGCCAATTCAAGATCACATAAACACAGAACTTTATCTGCTTTAAACAAAATTATGAGTTCTAGAGAGCATGTACATCTTAAATAATTTATCACAAATAAGTCATGCCAGAACAAACTTCAGCTTGTAGTAGAAAACCTCTGGATACTGAACAAAACCATAATCCGCAGTGATTACTCTATTTCACAAGCAATCATAAGGACAGTTCAGTGGTTAATGTGGTTTTTTTTTTTGTACCCTGAGGATTTTCATGCTCAGGTTATTTAAGTCTTGTACCAGATAATGCCTGGTGTACTGCATGTTACTGTATGCAAACTGTGGGCAGATTTAATAATGTGTATGATAAGTTCTGAGCATAATCATGTATTATGTAAAAAAATACCAATACAGAAAAATATTTTTTCCCATGGTATGAAGTTTCTAAATAAACTATTATTAGACTAGTTATATATAATGTGAAATACTTTTAAATCTTCAAAAAAAGGAGTTATTTTATCAGGTACAGACACAAAATAACGATGATGTTTGCATATTTGATAATGCACAGTAGTATACGGATAATAATCGAGACACTGGAAAATAAGGGAGTTCAGTTATTACACACAGGCAAATCAAGATTTGACCTGAATTGAAGAAATTCAAGGGTATCTACTGTAAGTATCCGTTAAATTTATTTGGAACAATTAATTCCCCTTTTTCCCAAGAAGTAAACCATTAAAGATATTATTTGAAGCCCTTACAGGTTCGCTTTTTCACTACTGAATTCTGCATATTAGGATACAAAGTATAACTAAGGCCAAAGATTTTTTAAGTTTTGGACAGATTAGAGATGAATTAGAACATCTACAGTATTAGGTTTTTATTGCTGTCTATGCCCTCATTAGGGAAATTCACTCTCTCTATTTGTTCTGCTTACCATTGTTATTGAAAGTAAAAGTAAAAGAAAATCTCAAATTGTGGGTTGTCCCCAGACAAATAATAGAGGGGAAATCTAGCTCTGGTGACCCAAAGAATTCCCTTAATTTGCAGAGATTTTTTCTCATTTCCTGTTTTGGCTATGGGACAGGAATGGAAGGTAAATCTCCCCAATGGGACAGCTGAAAAAAAAAAATTGACAGGGGTTATAACCTTCTCCCACTCTATCCAAAATGAAAAAAAAAAAAGTGTGCCTATAATTCTACTTTAAAGATAGGTACATGACATAAAATTACAGAAATTAACATTGGAAAACATAATTTACTAGCATAGGCAAAAAAGTTATATACTGTTTATGGCCACTATTCAGTGTTCCTACTCCTTGACCTCTCTGCGGCCTTCGACACAGTCAACCACCCCCTCCTCCTCAAAAAACTACACTCCCTCGGCCTCAGAGATTCTGCTCTCTCCTGGCTCTCATCCTACCTATCACAACGCTCCTTCAGCGTTACCTATAATGCTACAACCTCCCCCTCACTCCCCCTCTCTGTTGGGGTCCTTCAAGGCTCTGTCCTTGGGCCCCTTCTCTTCTCCATCTACACCTCCTCCCTTGGCCAACTCATACACTCTCACGGCTTCAACTACCACCTCTATGCCGACGACACACAAATCTATCTCTCAAACCCCCCACCTCACCTCCTCAGTCTCTGCCCAAATCACACACCTGCTGAGCGACATATCAGACTGGATGTCGCTCCACTTCCTTAAACTGAACCTCTCCAAAACTGAGTTTCTTGTCTTCCCCCCAGCCCGGACACCACCCCCCACTGACTTCTCCATCACATCCAACAACGCCACCATCAAACCCGCCCTGCAGGCCAGAGTACTTGGTGTCATTCTGGACTCCAACCTATCCTTCCAGCCCCAAGTCCAATCTTTAACAAACTCGTGCAGACTCCACCTCTGCAACATCGCCAAAATCCGCACGTTCCTAACCCCAGAAAACACTAAACAACTCATCCACTCCCTCATCATATCACGACTCGACTACTGCAACTCCCTCCTCACTGGCCTGCCTCGCTGCTGGCTATCCCCGCTTCAGTCGATCCTGAATACGGCTGCCAGACTCATTCACCTTTCCAAACGCTCCGTTTCTGCCACCCCCCTCTGCCAATCCCTCCACTGGCTTCCGAATGAAGCGGATCAAATTCAAAATCCTAACACTGACGTACAAAACCGTCCACCATATTGCCCCGAACTACATCACTGACCTAATATCCAAGTACCGCCCAGCACGCACACTCCGCTCCTCACAAAACCTCATTCTCTCTAGTTCCCTGGTCTCCTCCTCCCATGCCCGCCTCCAGGACTTCTCCAGGGTGTCACCAATCCTCTGGAACTCCCTGCCCCAACCCATCAGATTATCACCTACTCTCCTCTCCTTTAGGCTCACCCTGAAAACCCATCTCTTCAGGGAAGCCTACCCCACCCCCTGCTAACTTGCCAACCTCCTCCACTCTTCCTACCACTCCATCCCCCACAGCTATCTCCTCCTGTACCACTATCCCCTCCCTCCTAGATTGTAAGCTCGAAAGAGCAGGGCCCTCAATCCCCTCATGTTTTGCATTGTATTGGTATTGTTCTGTCACATGTTCTGTCCCCCTTTGTAATGTACTGTGCTGAGCAAACTAATGGTGCTTTTTAAATACTGTATAATAATTATAATAATAATAATAATAATACTGTTTATTGATAGATAAAAAAACATGTACTTACAGTATATCATACTTTAAATCTAAAGTCTGGTTATTTAACTGGTATGAATTAGAATTGTTTATTGTGATAAAAAAATATAATTTCAGATAGAAGCAGCAATGTATTTCCTTACATATGACTGTGCCTATGCACCCTCTATTCTTCCACCTTCAGGAAGAGTCTGGCGATAGCACTCCACTCCACTAATATGGTTCACAGCCACACAGCACCATGAAATGAATGAAAAAGTAAACAAAAGAGCAGCTACAGAATGCCTTCTGTCAGTGCCATATAGTTCACAACTGACTTGTATCACACTTTTTTAAAGAATAAGATGTCTGTGTCAAGGTTCACTAAGGAGTGTATTTATTTAACAAAAAAAACAGAGCTCTCCATCCTGTGAAACTTTATGTACATTCATTGTGTGAATGGGAGAAAAATGTATGCTATTTTCTATCCAGGTCGAATGTTATTGTTCATACAGAATAGAGTAAAGCAAAAAAATACTGCATTATGGTCACTAGATGGAGGTGACGATCATAGTTAATAGGTATTTATTTAACCACTTGCCCTCCAGAAGATTTACCTCCCTTCCTGCCATTTTTTGTGATATGGTGCTGCGTTACTTTAACTGACAATTGCGCAGTCATGCAATGCTGCACCCAAATTAAATGTATGTCCTTTTTTCCCACAAAAGGAGCTTTATTTTGGTGGTATTTGATCGCCTGTGCATTTTTAATTTTTTGCATTTTTTTTAACAAAAAACAAACAATTTTGGGAAAAAAAACAATATTTTTGACTTCTTGCTATAAAACATATCCAGTAAAAACATTTAAAAAATCAAATTTCATCATAATTTAGGTCAAAATGTATTCTGCTACATGTCCTTGCTAAAACAAAAATCCCAGTATGTGTAAATGATTTGTTTATGTGAAAGTTATAGCGTCTGCAAATGGCGGAATATCTAATGGAAATATTTTTTTTATATATATACTAGTAATGGCATCAATCAGTGACTTATAGCAGAACCGCGGGACTGCAGCGGGCATTCTGACACTGCGGGGGAACTTACTAACTGCCACTGACATCCCGACTGACACTAATACAGTGATCGGTGCTAATAAAAAGCACTGACACTGTACTAATGACACTGGGCAGGAAGGGGTTAACATCTGGGGGCGATCAAAGAGTTAACTATGTGATGTGTGTGTTTTACTGTGTGCTGTGTGTGTTTTACTATTTTGCCTGTGTGTGCTTTACTGTGTAAGCACGCTGCTGTGTATTGCCCTGCTATGCAGAGCAATACAAAGCAGAGTGCTAGTGCTGACAAGGGAGAGATCTATATTGTTTACATACAGACCTCTCCTCTGTCAGTGTTCCTCGGTGATCGCCAGGTGCCAGCCGGGAATCGCTGGCCAGGACCTGGTGATCGACAGCTATAGCCGCCAATGGCGTGTGTGTGCCCCCTACCTAGAAATACGAAATCACGTATATATAAGTGATTTTGCACAGCCCTGCCACCTTGTAGCAGTACTTCTGCTATAGGGTGGTCGGAAAGAGGTTAAAAACAGTATAAACAGGGAATTATTACCTGGAGGGTTGAATAGTAAAGCTTCTGATCAATTCAAATGTGAAAATTTATCTGACATATGTGTGCTACTACTTTTACTCAAATACAATGGGATAACTTTTAACTTTCAGTCTAATATCAATGAAAGTGTGAAATTTATTTAGTCTGCTTGGAGGAACATATTTTTAATCCTCGATTTGAAATCATTTTCTCTTCTTTGGTCAGATCTGTTTTACTAAGAATACAAATTTCAGAAAGATTAATAGCTTTCTCCGTTTTAGATTTAACTCTCCTCACGGCTTCATTCCTCTTTTTAAACTCCCTATCGGTCTGATTATGTCCATATTTCTGTGCTGAAAGCGGTACTTTTTTTGCATGGAAATATGTAGTTTTTTTATTGTAGGCATGTAATTGTTAGGAATAACTCACTGAAATCTGTCTGAACAAGAGTCTAGTAAACATCCCAGGTATGTTAAAATTTGAAACACGAAATCATGAATTACAATTTAATAAATAATCATAAAAAATAATAATTTAATAATAATAAATTTAATTCAATAATATAATCAAACCAAAAACACTGAAATTTGAAATATAGCGCCAAGTTCGCACATTACTGAGCAAAGTCGCAGAATAGTTTTCAGTGTCTGATGCCAAATTTCCCCATGAATCATTATCACTCAATTCTGCAAGTGGTTCTAATTTACTATCGCTGTTCTCTAGCTGGTCTAAAACCATTTTTGACCTAAAGGGACGCTTTTTGGACGCCATGGACATTTCTCAGTTTCAAGGCAGAAAGAATGCTAAAAATGTAGGCAGGGCACAGGACAAAGCACTAGGGACAAAATGTATGTGAAATGGTTTGATACAGTAATGTTATACTATATTATTTTAGTGTATTTAGTGAATGTCACTTTTTGTCATTTTCAAGTTTCACACCAGTTCCATCCCCCGTACGTCCCGACGCTCGCAGGGGACGGAACCCAGATGACAGATGCCAGCATCCGCCGGAAGACATTACAGGGGACACTGCAGGAGGACATCGCGGGAGTGCAGAACAAGGTAAGTGATCGAGGGATCCCGGAGCAGCGCCGCATGGTAAGCCCGAGTGTAGCTCGGGGTTACCGCTTGTGGTACTAAAACTTTACCCCGAACTACACTCGGGAATACCGCCAGGGAGGCTACTCTTGATTTGGCCTCTGAAAATTCAAATCCTGGGAACTGGGGCCATGATAGACATTGGTTCTTCTCCCTGAACTATTCCCATCACGACCTGAAAAGTTGTCATTAGGGTGAAGTCTAATAATTGTCTTCTCTGGGAGTTGAGGTCCCTCATCATCCTCATGCCTCACAGGCTCATAACTATTAGATGTTGGAATATCCCATCTACTGTAAACTGTATTGTATCTTCTAGGAGTCACATCATTCCTTCTAACAAGATTATGAAAGTTTTTATGACATTTAAGTTTGACAAAATCTCACACTGCACTGTCACTAACAATGCCACTCTCAGCTGCACCCAGCACCAGGGGCGGACTGACAACTCATGAAGCCCCCGAGCAATAGGGGATTTCTAGAGCCCCTGTGTTCTCACCCACACCCAAAAAAGCCTATGAAAAAGCCAATGAAAGGTACCAGGGGCCTCTCATGGGCCCCCTACTTACCCCGGGCCCTCGGGCAGTGCCCGACTGCTCGAATGGTCAGTCCACCCCTGCCCCCAAAGGTTTTCCAGCTCACGGAACCACAATCTACATGCCAACAGACTGAGAGCGATTGTAACTGATTGTATTGTATAAACTGAAGGAAGGAGGAGGAGAGAAAGGTCACTGTGCTATGGCTTCTTATGATGAAACGGTATAGGAGACCTGTGATGTGAACAAAATGGCTGTTACACACACAGCTATTTGAATGCCCAGTATGCACGACCATTACCTCAAAAGCATATCCCCCTCTACAGAACCTATCATGTGAGGAGAGTTTATATTCTGCCTTTTAATTCACTTTCGGATTAAATTTTGTTTTAGCTCCCCCACCATATTTCTATATCTCCATAAGGTGCCAATGTCTGGTGGGAAACAGTTTCTTCTTTATTTTTCCATTTAAAGACAATGAGGGTCATTTACTAAAACTGGAACGTGCAAAATCTGGTGCAGCTCTGCATATAAGCCAATCAGCTTCCAGGTTTTACTGCTAAAGCTTAACTGAACAAGGTGAGATTAAAAGCTGATTGGCTACCATGCACAACTGTACCAGATTTTGAGTGTACCAGGTTTAGTAAATCTACCCCAATACGGGCTTTATAATGTCCCAATTATTCTTTTTTCTCTGCTTCAATTTTTTGCTCATATTCCTCCTTTTCTAAGGTTTTTTTCACGGACTTTATTTATTTTGACTATCAATTTCACCCAGTTACCATAATGTCGTATTTTTCTGATTCATTCTATTGTTTATGAAGAGTTACATTCGGCTTGGAGGGAAAATAGCCTAGTAACATTCAATTTTGCCCCTATTGGAACATAATGAATACATATGCAGTTTCTCCGGATGAATAGCTCTTTATTTTTTAAACACATTCCTAAGTGTTTGGCTTTTTTTGTATAAAGACATACCAGATCTCAGGAATAGGCCCTCTACTATAGTGATACAAGCTCATTTTTAACTCCAGATCCAAAGAAGTCCATGAGAATGTTCTCCTATTGATCTATATAAGCATGCCTTTAAGATCTCCTATATTTACCTTCCTTCTGTGAGCCTTGCACTAACATAGTCACCTTTACCTTCTATTAGTGGTCTGGGATGGATGGACAGACACATACAAACATGTATATGTAGGCCAATGATTGTGAAAGACAGAAAGACAAAGATAGACACATGTTAACCACAGAGCAAATAGCTATTGCGAGACAAAGGGAGAGGAAGTACTTTTAATTATTGCACAAAAAACTCTATCATTATGGTCTGCTGATGAGTAAATGTTTACAAAATACTAATTGCATGAAAATCAGTTTTGCTCTGCAAAATATAACATTGTACAAGAAATGTAAATAGCAAAAAGGCATCTTAGCATGCAGATATCCATTCAGATTTAATTAGTGTTGCAAAAAGCACATCTGAAAAGCTGCCAGCCAGAAAACCATCAAGAAAAAAAGGAGACCCCCTAGGGGACCACCCTCTAGAGTGGTCTTTAGGAAAGCAAGAAATATAAAGAGCCTTATAGCTCCAAGTAAATTAAATATTGGCAACCAAACCAGCACAGTTATCATCCTTTCCCTCCTTTCATTGAATGGCATATACCAATGTATGAAAACATTTTCAGATAGTAAAAGCAGGATATTCCCCATGAAAGAGTTTGTGAACTACTCCTCTAAATTTGTATTGTGCAGGGGCGGACTGACCATTTGGGTACTCGTTCACTGCCCGAGGGCCCAGGGTCTGCCGGGGGGCCCCATGAGATGCCCCTGATACCTTTCATAGGCTTTTTTAGGTGTGGTTTGAGTGTTGGCGAGGACACAGGGTCCCCATGATTTCCTAATGCCGGGGGCAAGTCCAAGCCCTGTATATTGTGTATACTTACCTGATCCTGTGGCTTGACATATGTGGGTAGCACCATTAGGTTTTTATGAGTAAGGTTTGGGGAGCACAAAAAAGTGTGGAGAACAGCTCCCCTAATTATAGCATCACCCGGCACTTTACTGTCCATCAGAACAGCGATCCTGAATTGTAAAAATTGCTGCTATCCAATTGATTTCACCAAATCCCTAAAAAGGGGAAATATTTAACTTATTATGCTCCCAGGAGATGTATTAGATCTTTAACCTTAACAGTTTACAAGCAGGGAGTCTGAATGAAGAACTAGACCTACAAACAATTCTACACCATGTTTTTTTGCCCCCATTCTACCCAATTCTACCCCCATTTTTAATATATAAGTTGATCATTTTAAAAAAAAGTTTTCTAGTATATTTAAAGTATTTTTTTTTCTATAAAATTCCCTTTACAATATGAATTGCTAGATGTATGGATGACCAGGCAATCAAGTTTGTCTTCTGATTTTATTTGTGTATTGATTGATTGATGTATATTTTTTTAATCTGCTTCAGATAATTGAGAGTTATGGATTCTGCTTCAGATAATTGAGAGTTATGGATTTTTTTTTTTGAAATTTTTGGCTTTATTTTACAATGTGCATTGTTTTCTTCTGCAGCAGCCAATAAATAATTACAAAACTGTTTCTTGATAAACCCTGGAGGTTTAGCTGTCAGATGGAAGGGGAGGACTTTCTCTGAAATGTGTACCCATAATCCTTTGCAGGATACAGTGAGGGGGAGAGGGGTAGTTTTGATTTATCGCATTCCCAAGCAGCATTCTGACACTGGAAGCTCGAACTGGTATCTAGTACAGTAAGAACTGTCATTCTCCCACACAGTGGCAGCCACACAAGAGTGGACATTCTGTTAAGCACTTGAGGGCAGGATTATCTTTATATATGCACCCCCCTCCACTGATTTGGGAATGCATTTCTTATAGTTTGTTTTGTTTTGTGTGCCAGTTTAATGCAGATTTTGTTGCACTTTGAGGCTTTCTTGTGCCCCTCTTTTCCTTTTTATTTTATAGAACTGATAAGAAAAGAGTTCAGCAATAAAAATGTATTTAAAGAAATTGTAAACCCAAAATTTCATATTCCTAATA